AACCTTCATCGCCCAGGGCCTTGCTCAGTGTGAGCTTCATAGTGAACCCCACAGTGTGTACCCCGCCCCATAGGCCAGCTCGGTTTCATGCGGTCGGCAGCCATCGAGCTCGCAAAGTACAAGGTGGCGGCACGAGGGCGGGAAGTTAGCTGCCGCACACACCCTCGCCAGCAGACCTCGACTACCCGCGGCTCAGGTGACGGTCAACAGCGTGCTACCGGGCAACATCAAGACGGAGGGGCTGGTAGCGCTCGGCCAAGAGTGCCGTGGCAGCATGGCGGCTTGGGTGTGAGGCGCGAAGCGACACCGCTCACGGTCTCCATCGTGTGCAGGTACCTCGACGGCATGGCGGCTGCGGTGCCGCTCGGCTCGATCGGCGAGGTGGGCACGCCTTCGCTGATCTCGGCTGATCTCGTCTAATCTCGGATAATCTCGGATGATGATCTCAGATGATCTCGGATGGGATCTCGGGTGGTCTCCGCCTAGGTGGAGGACATTGGCCACGCCTGCCTCTACTTCGCTTCTGCCGCAGCCGCCTACGTCACCGGCCAGACGATCGTCGTCGATGGTGGCCAGGTGCACGCAAGCGCGCTCACCTCACACACGCGCACGCGCACGCGGTGGGGCGCCCGTTACGCGCTTACCATGCCCCTCCGCCTAGGTGCTGCCTGAGTCGGCCGAGTTCAAGAGCGAGTGGTAGCCGATCGAAAGTGGTGCTGGCGCCAGATCTGCGGAGACATGTGTTGGCGTCGAGTGTTGGCATGCCACCCTCCACCTCACTCTCTCGTCTCTGCTCCCCTCACTTGCATACGGAGACCCGATCGGCGAGCAGTCTGCAGGATAGAGCACGTACATTTATACTTGCCAAGTGTTACTATATACTTGCCACACTGTGTGCTGTGGATCGCCTCGAGAGGGGCGCCTGGAGTGTACTATTGCAACTCGCGAGAATACTGTGTATCTCCACCACACCAATACGAATTCATTATACATAGTCATACATGGCACATACATAGATAGATTGCTCATTGTTTTTGTCATAATCATAGACATCATAGAGTGTTTCTGAGGGAGAGGACAGTAACACTGAGGGGTGAGGGGAGTGGGGAGGTGCGAGGACGAGGGCCGAGCTCCACGCACCACGGGCGCGCACCGCCAGGCCCCACACCCAGGTGTGTGTGATCTGTGTGTGTGTCCATATTGCTTAAAATTGGTTATTTGGATATTGCGCATTGGCCATTTGCGCACATACCACATTGCCAGGTACATGGTATTGTGCGCAGCATTCACACTGTCGTACGGCGCTACCAGAAACCCACGATAAGAGCTCTTGGCGTACAAACCGATGTTGAGCTGTACCTGCGACACTTCTGCACCCCATACGCGCCCTCCGTCTAGGCAGAGAGCCGTAGCTGTGAGCGCTGTCAGAGCGGTGTTTCGACACCGATATCGGTCAAGGAGAACGCTGATTCAAAATCCGCTGTTCACACTTCATAGGTAAGTGTAAGCGGAGCAGCTGAGTAGATACAGCGAATCCTTTGTGTTCACACCTGCAAGAGTCTTACACTCTGAATGCGAGCGGGTCCTGAGCGCAGAGCCAGCACGACAGCTACTCTCCTGGCCGGCGCATGTGACTACCCGCCAAAAGTTCACCGCTGCGGAGCCCGGACTGAGAACCCCAGCCACTCTCGGTGCCACGATGCTGTCGTACGGCGAAGAACCGCGCCCAGGCCGGCGTTTTGCGACGACCAGCGAGGCACTCGCTTCGCTGGTCATCGCAAAACGTGAACAATCGCAGCCTGCGACCGGGAAAGTGGACCCCGATGATCGTACCGGCGTCACTCATCACCTCGCCACCCGTACCGGCCGTCGGATCGACGCGCATCACGCACCCACCCACCTAACAGCGTCGTTCTCGCGCTGTGTGAGTAGGCTCGGCAGCGGCGGAAGGGTCGAGCCCAAGCTTCAACGAGAGTGGCCGAGCGACCCAGGGCAGATGGTACGGCATAAGAACTTAATGTTCCCTTCCTCTCAGGTCGCGCCTTCGACGTGTGCGCGAGCGGTGGCCCCTGCCGTGACCACCCCGTCACGACACTGCTCCGTCACCAGCAACATCCGGAGCCATGGTGGTGTCGAGCGTCGACCTCTGGGTACTTCTTTCGATCGACGTTGCTTGTGTACGTACTTTTAGCTTACTGGGAGAAAAGAGAGATTTTAAGGGCCCTACGCGCGGCGTGAGAGCTCGGAAGCGAGCTTTGCACGGCGATCGAGGATGGCACACAGTTCACCCCCAGAGTCACCCCCTCCACCCCCTTCACTATCAAAGGAATCACCGCAGCCTTTGTACGGTTGGGAGGGGCACTGGGGCTGATCCGCAGCGTCGCGCAGTCTATCGTGCGGGTTAATCTCTCCGGCCGCGTTGGGGCGTAAGGGTAAGCGACAGTGTGGGGTGCGCATTCGGTTATCGCCAATTTTAAACGAGCATTATTTCATTTTTACGTTCGCTGGTCCTCTCCACGCTGGCTGCTATCCCTGTCCGCTATCGCCGACCCAACAACCACTGTGCTGCCGCGGACCTGCCGCTCAGGCACCCAATGCACCGATCGGCCGTGCGGACCTTCAGCGACGCGCACGGCGAGCCCATCCGCGGTCGCCGCCTGCCGGTACACGAGCAGTTTGAACCGCGGCTCCATCGCCGCAAACGTGCCGCGGGTGGCGGAGGGGTCGTCGCCGGCGGCGGCAGCCGCAATGGCGGCCTGCGAGGCGAGGGAGTTACAGCATGTGCTTGTGAGGACGTGAGGTGGACAGCGTTGCGAGTGGGCGGCACTAGTGAGGTCGCGGGTGGACCTGCGACGCGTAGCTCGCGCGCAGCGTCTGCGAGGCCGCCGCGTGCACCTCTGCCCAGTCCGAGTCGACCAGGTCGGCACACGCCGCCCACGGGTAGACGCGAGCCTTGTAGAGCACCTGCGGCGGGCTGACACAGTCCGTGAGCTGGGCAAGACAGCACCAACGCGAGTGGCACCGTGGCTGTGCCGTCGTCGAGTGCTGGCTCGGGCCCCGGGGGAGGGCTACCTCGCTCAGGACATAGTTGCCGATGCCGGCCGTCTTGGACTGGTCCATCAGGAACTTGGCCACCGGAACGGCGGCGCGGCGGCGGCTGCTGCATTGCCGCCGCACGATCTCCATGAAGCCGTCCCTCGTGATCCCGCCGCCCTCGTCGAGCCAGCTCGGCCCGAGCGTCTCGAGCTTGGCGCGCAGCGCGGCGTGCTCAGTGCAGACCGTCAGCACTCCGAAGTTGCGCTGGTCGTTGTAGAATAGCAGCGTCGGCGCAACGGCGGCTGGTTCAGCGGCGAGCTCCAGGCACACGCGCGAGTGCGTGTTGCGACCGGTGGACCACGCCCCGGACATGCCCAGCGTCGACCAGAGGGTGAGCTCGGGCAGCGCGCCCGAGAGCGGGCTGAGCTCCCACCAGATGAACTTGCCCTTTGCCCGAACAGCGCCCACCACAGCAGGCAAGCTGCCACGCAACTCCGCCCAGCCGGCCGGAGGCGCACCACGGCCGGGCATCGAGCTGTTGCCGGCGTAGCGGCCGCTCAGGATGGCCGCACGGGAGAGGGTGCGCCCTGCAAAGCGGCGGTGCAGGCTCTCCGCATGAACTAGGCACTCTGGGCCTTCCGGCATCAGAGCAGGAGGCGTCCTCCGGAACCCACGGCGCTGCGGCGCAGCATGGCGTGTAGCGCGAAGGCCGGTTGCGGCGACGCCGAGGAGGAGTGGCACCATGGTGGCAAAAGTAGTGCTGCGCTCTGTCAGCTCTAGCGCCGCGCGCGCGCGTCAGTGTCAACAAAAAAAAGAACAAAGCAAAATCCTCTCTCGTAGAGCCCACCTGTCCCCCTGATCGTCCTTCCAAAATCCTGCTCGTGCAGGTGGGGACCCCTGTCCTCGTCCCATCCCTCGTTTGGCGTGTCTGTTTTCTTTCTTTTCTTTTCGTAGAGCCGAACGGGAGGAAGCCGGGGAAGACGATCTCGAGGAGGACCCAGTGGTAATCCCGGCGTCAGCTGTAACGATGCACCCGAAGGGGACCCCAGCGCCAACATCATCGGTGGAGGTACAAGTGTCCGAAGAGAGAGTGGACCTGAGCAACGATATGACTGGGCGGCAAATGATCGCAGTGGGCGTCAGAAGAGTCATCCTTGCGCGAGGAGAGCTCGATAAACTCGAGGGGCCAGGATATGCCGCGAGGAGGGCAGAGTTACGCCGAGAGGCGAGAGCAAGGGATCGGCAGGCAGCGGCGTGCAAGGCTTACTTACGGGCTGCACGCGCTACACACATGGAATGCAACGGGTTTGACTTGGCACTATCAGCGTCGAGTCCTGGCGAGCTCGACTTGATGCTGCAGCGCCACCCGTCCTGCTTCATCTGTCTGGCACTTCATCGAGCCTCAAGCGGGGAAGTCGTCGCTGTGGAATGTGTGCGGCGAGTCCACGCCGTTCACGAGCCCGGAAGACGAGCATGGTCACGCGCACGATTAAGCTCATGTCGCGCACAGCTCGGCGGAGAGGACGTCGACACGTCGTACTGTGTTTTGTGTGTACTGTGTGTATGCTTTTATTGTGTACGTACTACTCTCTCTCTCTCTCTACACGTACGTCTCTCTCTCTTGTGTACTTAAGAGTATGCTTTGTGTATCTGCACGCTCTCGTGCGTGAAGGCCAACACGCAACAGGACATCCCCCACCCAGAATCCCAGATGCACCCCCCACATTTCCCACTCCGGTCTCCGCGCTCGCGGGCTCACAGTGGCCTGCAGTTGGGCATGCACCGTTTCACTTGTGAGTTTCATGATTTACCTAGTGGTTTGGCGATTTCACTTGGTCTTGTGAGGGTCATGCACCATTTCACTTCGCGGCGCTGCGCGCCGCCATGCACCATCCATTTTACTAGAGAGCCGTAGACCCGGCGAAGCTTGTACACATGTCGCCCTTCTGGTTCTGCATGACGGTCCGCGTATAGGCGCGTGAGCGCGTGTCTGTGGCCACGCACCCGGGAGCAGTACCCAGGGGGGCAAGCTTAGCCTTAGAGGTACCCCTAGGCTTAAAAGGGTGGGCCCTGGGGCGCGCCTGCGGCTTAAACGGCTTCAAACCTGCCATGGCCGGTTGATGGCCCGTTTTAAGGCTGCCTGGGCCGCCGATTCATTAAACGGTCTTAAACGCTTAATCGGTTCGGGAGAGCTCCCGAGGTCGATGGTCCGGGAGGCTCCCCGGTAGACGCCGGAGGCCGGGAAGCTGGCTACAGTCTTCAGCTAGCACGCGCCCCCTATGCGAGTATGGCTCCTGCCAGTGCACCAGACTTAAAACAGATGTGTCTTCAGAGGCGGGTTTGTGCTTAATAGCGGCGGTATTGGAGAAAACGGCGCGGAACCCAGCGACGCATGCCGGCGAGGCCGATTTTCTTAAAAGGTTGTAAAATTCTTAAAAGGGGAACCCCGTGCCTCCTCATCTTAAATGGTGATCTAAGCCCCCAATCCTCCTCATTTCTTAAAAGCCCTGGTTAAAAAATCCGGCCCTCAGGCCTCAGAACCCTAGGGGTACCCTAAAGCCCAAGGGGGCAAGTGCCGGGCAGCTTTAACGTTTTAAGATTTAAGTGCCGGGGGGCGGGCTCCAGCGTCCAGGCCCCAAATGATGTGTGAGTGAGTTGTTTTGACTTACGATCTCTCAACTCTCTCGACGACCTCACACACCTGTCCTCACAAATCAGAAGTCTCAATCTCAACACAGTTTCAGGCACAAAGATGACTTGTTTCAATGATACATGCAAGGAAGGACCACGTGTCCCGAGCGCGAACGGAGCTATAGCTCTCAGTCAGTCTCTTTCTCGAAGTACGGAGAGCATCTCGAAGTACGGAGAGCACATCTCTCGTCCCGGTCGGAATTCCTCGGTGAACGGTACATCGGGGGAGCGCCCACATGCGGAGGCTTGCTCACAGCAGGCTGGCGATGCTGTCCAGCAGGTCCATCGACGAGGTGCTCGACGAGACCTCGAGCAGCGGCGGGGACGGCAGCGGCTCGCCGAGCAGCGGGTCGGTCACCTGGTAAGGAGGCACACAGAGTGACACAGAGGCCGTAGACTGAGGGAGAGACAGTGAGGACTAGACGGTGAGTCGCAAGGCCGCTCCGAGGGGTTCGGTGAGTGGTGGCGAGAGTGGCTGTGCTATGTGGTATAGGGCAGTGCGTAGATCTCGGGCCGCGTCACCGGCGCGATCTCGGCGTGGGCGAGAGGGAGCTGTAGCTCCATCTCGCCGGCCGCGGCTTCAGGGTGCGGGTGCGGCTTGGGCAGGAGCGGCGCGGGTGCGATGGCCCGTGCGGAGACCTGTGTGCCGCCGGGAGGACGTGTGTCTCTGATATGGTGATATGGCTCAGAATTGGGGAGGGGGGGGGGGGGGTGAGGGAGAGACGCCGGGGAGAGGGAGAGGCGGAGGCAGGGCAGAGCCCCGGCCGGCCCTCCCGGCGGCATCGCACCTGAACCTGCAGCCGCCACACAGTGGTGCCCCTGGTGCCGGACCCGGGCACGGCCGCCCACCACCCCCAGGGGGGCCCCAGGAAGGAGCCCCCCCCGGGCGGGCCGGCGGGCGGCGGCCGTGCCGCATACAGCACCCGGAAGGAGCCCACCGGGGTGAGGCTTGGGGCGAGGTTGGGCGTGAGGTCGAGGCTTGGCTCGTGGTTGTGATGCGCGTTGAGCAAGCGGTCGGACGAGACGTCGAGGGGGCGGGCGCCGGGCGAGGCGCCGGGCGAGGCGGTGGGCGAAGGTGCGGGTAGCTGAGGAGCAGGGCGTCCGGTGCAGCGGCGTCTGCGGGGAAAGGGCGGGGGAGGGGCGGGGGAGGGGCGCGGGGGCTAGGCCGGGGGAGAGGGGCTCGTGAGCGGACGTGCGCGGAACGGGGAACGGCGATCTGTGTGCAGGGAAGGGGGGGGGGGGGTGAGGGTGGTGTGGGGGGGCTGACCTGCGAGCCGCCCTCCTGCTTGTCGGTGAGGTATCCATGCGCTCGGTACGTGCAGCCCATCAGCGCGGCATCGGTGAGCGCGTGGCACATCGCCGGTGGAGCGCACGGAAGGGGGGCGTGAGCCACCGCGCTCTGCGCCGGCGCGAAGACCACCTCGTCCGTCTTGGATGCCTCGCCGTGGCGGATGCGAGGCGCCTTTGAGCGAGGCGCCTTCGAGCGAGGCGCCTTCTTCGGGGTCTGCCCCGAGCGGCTCCGCTTATTCTGGCGGCAGAGGGTGGCGGAGGGGGAATCGGGAGATGAGCGGACGGGGCGGGGGCCCGAACGAAGGCTAGGCAGGGACGCGCCTGGAACCAAGTGTGGATCTTCCTCGGTGTCACGTCGAAGGCGGTCGCCAACCGCTGACGGTCAGAGAGGGAAGGGAAGCGATCGACGAGGAAAGCAGCCTCAAGGCTCTTCTGTGTGGCTGTAGGGATCAGCCACCGCCGTTTTACAATTTTGGGGGCCAAAGCTGTGTCGTCCTTTTCAGTTGTCATGGCCACGCTGGGGTGCAGGTTTTTCCAGAACACCGCAATCACAAGCGCCGCGGCCACACTTTCTTTTCCCCCCGCACGACACCCCCCCCCTGCCCCCCACCCCCCACTGCCCCCCCACACTGCCCCCTGCCCTAGGAAGGAACTTAAGGTGGTTAAGCTTTCCCTATCCTTTCCAGTTGTCATGGCCACGTTTGGGTACCGAGAATGCGGCGGGTTCAATCACCTACGCCTCGCGACACTTTCTTTTCGACATAAAATTCCAACTCTTCGAGGAAGTTAAGGTGGGAAGGAAGATTGACTCTCTCTCTTGGCCGCCGACTTTGGGGTTTGGGCCCGACCCGGTCTACCTCTTCTGCCTCCCCCTCTCGCACATCGCCGCGCTCCTTCTCGAATTTATGTTCGCCGCGCCGTCGGAAGCATCTACTTTGCCACGCCCGACGCGCTCTCGGGAGGGCTTCTGGACTGCTGCTGCTGCAGCCAGCAGCAGACGCGGCCAACCATCTTTCCTTTTGCTTCTGAGTTCTGACCCAATGTGCAATGTGCATGTGGTGTGGTGCTACTGTGTCTGACCCATTTGTCGCGCTGTAACCTGTATCCAGCTAAAGCTGCAACAAAAGCCGGGTGCGAAAGAAGTAACGGTCCCACGACGCGGCTCCAGACAGGCATGATTTGTTTGCGCACACCACGATAGATGAAGAACAGTCAGGCTCGGTCGGGACTGGACACCAACGCGGTATGGGTGTGGACGCGGGACAGGATGTAGATGACGGCACGCACGCTGGAGCGACACACATAGACACACAAACTCCACACGCACAACCCCGACACTCCGAGCCAGCTGGCTACTGTTAAAAAAGGAATGTACGTAAGTGCCACATACACTGACTGAGAAGAGAGCGACCCTGAAAAAGTAAGTAACAATACATGCTGTCTTAAGGTCCGACCTGTGGGCTCTGCCTGCGCTCGGCACCGGGCACCGACTCGGTATACAAAATGCGCCTGCGGGCGGACCCTCACAGATCACAGATCACAATAGTGGGCGAGCGAGTCGCCACCGAAAGTTCTGGGCACACCCCACGCCAAGATGCAATGGCTCGCTTGCTTCGATTCAGCTCTCTCGGCAGCAGAAGTGGGGCTGGAGCGGGTGGGGGTGGATGCCGATTGAGGGAGAGCGTCTCCAGCTGCGCCCTGTGGCAGCTGCGCCCTGTGGCAGCTAGTCGAGGGACTTGGTAGTTGTGACCCCCCTGAGTGAGGACAGGAGAGAGAGAGAGCGTTTTGTGGTGTTGGTGTACGCAATAACGGGACAGGGTGGTTGTTCTCTCTATCTCCCCTTCTGGCTCTTAGCATGAGCTGCGCCCTGTGTCCGACCCCTTTTGCGCAGCAACACCTTAAACTTTTAGGCCCTCCAAATTCGGGTCGGAGCGTAGCGGAGTGGGCCCCGAGTTTGAAAAGGGCGACGGACGCTTGCGTCCTAGCCTCCAACAACGCCTCCCCGGCGCAGAGGGGCCCCCGGAGGGATGCACAACCGCTCCACGCCACGCCGCTTGCGGCGGTCCTCTTCCCAGCTCCGCTGAGGGCCCACACGTTAACCACCCAAGACAGCTTGGAGAGCTCCCGGTCCCGCAACATTTCGTAACGATCGTCGCTATTGGCCATCTGCCTCCTGCTATTGGCCATCTGCCTCCTGCAGCCTCTGTTGGGGCGGAATGCGCGGGGTTTTCGGCGCGATGCCTCCGGCTAGTACACGGTACTGCTCTGCCGCAAACTCTCCTGCGCTCGCGTGACGTGTGGGGCGCACGCACTGCGCTCGAAAGTCGCGATTTGGCAATAGGCGCTCGAGCCGGCGCGCAGTGGAGGGGGCGCCGCGCAGGGGGATCGGGGGGTGCGAGAGGGGGCGTGGGTCGGGCGCGCACCGGCCGGCTCCGGGAGCGGCCGTCACGTCCAAGAGGGGACCTGGTGCTGCTCGAATGACGACGCATGCCGCTCTGCTGCGCTGCCGATAGCCCCTCTTCCGAGCCGGCGCGTGGCGGCGAGCCGCGGCCAGTATCGCTGGTGCGGTGGAGGCGGCAGCTTGGATCGGCCGGCAGCGGGTGCGGCCATCACGTCGATGAGGGGGGGTTGTCGGCGACTCGTGTGGCTCGAGGCCTACGCTGCGCCGGCCATTGCGGCCAAGCCCTACTGCCGATCCAGCGCCTGGCGTTTGGGGCGAGCCGCGGTCGTCGTCGCTGATGGTATATGGCGGCGGCGGCGGCGGCTCGCCCTTCCCTCCGGCCGCAATTCCGATCCCGCCGCGCTCGCGGGAGGTGGCGCATACACCTTACGCCCTTTCTCCTCAACGGCTATCCGTGCTTGCTGTGCCCCTGCGTGGTGTGTTCCAAGTTCTTACAACCCAAGGTGATAGAGGGCAAAAAGATCGATTGCGCTCTTGCCGATCCGCACCTACCTAGGCCCTTGGGTGGCGCGCCCCAGCTCTTCACAACGAAGTGGTTTTCTCCCGTGGTGTACCTGTTGGCCAGTGCGTCACCAGTCCCGTGCCTAGTGTCGTGCGACAGGCTCCAGGTGTCGATCGGGAAAGAGGAGGACGCGAGTGAGACGACGAAGCAGCATTTCGCTTCGCCGCCAACGCCAACGACGCAGCTCGTAGCGCTGCAATCCAGTCTCCTAGCTTCGTCATTTGCTCGTCCCTGCTGTCTGCCGTGTGCACCTCTCGCTGCAGAGACCACCTCTCACAACCGTCGGCCTCGTAGCAGCTCACCTGCTGCCTTTGGGCCAGTGAAGAGGCGTCCGAAGAAGAGGGCTGCGACAATGTCGAAATTCCTCCTTTCGATGCTCGAGAGCCGCGCCTTTTGGTGGGACATCATACGCTACAACAAGGGACGCTTCACCGTGCTGGTCCTGATCCTCGGAGAGACTGGATACAACAAGGCTCGCGGCGGGCAGCAGCCAGATCCAGCGGCCACGGCGGCAAAGCGGACGCCGCAGATTTACATCACCGCGCCGCAGCCGGAGACGGCTGCCTCTCTGGGCGAGATTGCTCGGAGAAAGCGCGCCGCGTCGAGAGCCGTCTCTGACCCGCTCTCGCAGTACAGCCACGCGATGCTGGCCTCGTACCGCGGCTCGGGGTGTGGCGGCGGCGACAACAGGCCTCGGTCGGAGCGTGCTTGAGGGCCGCGTGTATTCTCGTCATTCTCGCTACGGGTACGGCTTTGGCATGTGAGATGTGTGCATGACATGGTATAACGCGTAAGTATGTTCTATGTAATGGCTAAAAAATGCACAGCCGCAATACGGTGTAGAGTATGCACATCACTGTAACCCGCAGTCTGTACCTGCGCCGCAGTGCGGCGGCGGCCCTGCAGCAGTCGAGCGCGCGAGATCCGAGAGAGCGCCCGCCGCCGCCCCGCGCCCCGCAGAACAGACACCACTCTCCCTCGACTCTCCATGCAAAAATCTCGTTCTCGAGCGACGCTCGCCACACCGCACTGTCGTGGCCAGGTCGTGGCGAGGGAGCGCGTGCCCTGAGGCATCCGAGCGCGGGTTCGCCTCTAGGAGGAGCTGAAGCCGTTCGGGTTGGCGCTGATCCACCGCCACGTGTCGGAGCACATCTCCTCGAGGCCGAGCTCCGCCTGCGGGAGAGTGATCAGCCGAGATCGAGCCGAGATCCATCTGCCACCCCGATCTCGGCAACCTCTCGGCCACATCTCGGCCGGAGATCCGCCTTCCACCCCAGTTCGGCCGCCGCGAGGGACGCGTCCGAGTACACGACCGCGACGTCGCCCGGCCTGCGCGGCGCAATCTCGTAAGGGAGGTCGTGCCCGCAGGCGGCGGAGAAGGCCCGCACCATGTCGAGCACCTGCCAAGAATAAAGAATGAAATCATCAATCATAAACCATGTCCAGCACCTGCCGCGCGGACGCCGAGTCAGAGCGCCACCAGTCCAACCGCCAGGACGAGATCGACAGCGCCTCGGCCACACGTCGCTCTCGGCCACACGTCGCTCTCGAGCACACCGCTCTCGCTCTACTGCCGCTGCTGCCGCTACTGCCGCCGCACCCGTGCTCCCGCGGTGCTATCCTCCGCGCTACGCCCGCTCGCCGAGTAGCCGACGCCCGTGCCGAGGTTGTACGTGACGCAGCCGCTGCCCTGCTGCAGCCGGAGCAGGGCGGCGGTGTGCCCCTTGGCCAGGTCGACCTACGGGACGTGTCCAGGACACGTCGTGCGCACGCCCCGCCAGCCGCCAGGCGGTGCCTCGGCCGGGCGTACCACGTGGATGTAGTCCCGCACGCCAGTGCCGTCGGCCGTCGGGTAATCGTCACCGAAGACGGAGAGGCGCGGCCGCTTGCCGACGGCGACCTGGGGGCGGCGAGGGGCGGGCGGACCAGTGGGTGGAGAGGCTCGCTCTCGCTGTCGGCCTCTCGCCCCGCGTGCCGCAGGAGGGACGCCCGCAGGAGGGGCACCCCGGGTGCTGCTGGTACCCCGGGTGTTGCTGGTGCTGCCGGTGCTGCCGGTGCGTGGAGCTGATCTATCTCGTCCGACTTGCTGCAGGAAGGGCATCAGGTTGTTCGGGATGCCCTGCGGGTCCTCGCCTATTGGCCAGTCCTCCTCCTGGCCACCGCCTTTCGCCGGGTGGGTCGGGATGCCCCTGCGTGTGGCTCGCCGATGCGGCCGGACGGGTGGGCGCCGACGGGGTTGAAGTAGCGAAGCAAGGCGACGTTGAGCTGCGGCGGGCGGCGGAGAGCGTGGCGCGCGGCCGAGGTGCGGCGGGCGAGGTGCGGGCGAGGGTGGGGGTGGGGGTGGGGGTGAGGGCGAGGATGAGAGTGAGGGCGAGGGTGCACCTGCGGGTTGGCGGTGGAGACGTCGCGCAAGATCTGCTCGATGAAGAACTTTGAGAACCCGTACGGGTTGGTGCAGCGGCCGGCGGGGAAGGACTCGTCCACCGGGACCGAGGCGGGGTCGCCGTACACGGTGGCGGACGACGAGAAGACGAGGTCGGTGCAGCCCTGCTGAAGCATCGCCTGCACGAGGTTGAGCGTGCCCTGCACGTTGACCTGGTAGTAGAGCAGGGGCTCGGCCACTGACTCGCCGACCGCCTTGAGCCCGGCGAAGTGCACGACCGCCTACGCCCGTCCGCCCTCGTGACTGCCGCCTCTCCTCACCCGGGACAAGAAGCAGAGCCTCCGCCCGCCGTCGGCTTGTGCTGCGCAAAGACCGCACTCAGCGCGTCCGCGTCGCGCAGGTCGACCTCGTGGAAGGCGACGTCGCGGCCGGCCAGCTCCTGCACTCTCCGGAGGCACTCCAGGTTCGAGTTGCACAGGTTGTCCACCACAACAACCTAGACGCGAGTGCGCTGCTCGCCTCGGCGTTGCTGAGTGCAGGCGGGGGCTGGGTTATCCGCCGCCCCTCACGGCCTTGCGTGCACCCGCGTTTAGGAGGCTGGTGCATGCGGGTGGCAGGTGTGAATTCTTCTGCGTGTGTGTGTGTGTGCGTGTGTCTTCTGTGCATCACCTCGTGGCCGGCCGACAGCAGCTCGAGCACGGTGTGGCTGCCGATGTAGCCGACGCCGCCGGTGACGAGCACGGTCTGTGGCACGGCCGGAGGCGGTATTCTTGAGCCGAGGGACGTTTGCAGCAGAAGTAGCAGCGGGCAGATGAGCCGAGGCATCAGAGCGCTGCCGGAAAGCAGCAATTCGTTCTGTACGAAAAGAATTTTCCGGCGCGCCACCCACGTCCGACGGCCGACGGCCGACGGCACCGTCGGCCGTCGGCCGTCGGCAGACGGCAGACGGCAGACGGCAGACGGCAGACGGCATACGGCATACGGCATACGGCATACGGCAGACGGCATACGGCATACGGCCTACGGCTCGGTGCGTCGCCCATCTCTCCTGGAGATGTGCCCGCTCTATTTTTTTTTGCACTTACACATTTCAACTAGGTCTTAGCTCTAAGCGTGCGCAAGACGGAGAGATTTAAATTTATGTGTGGTGGCGGCGTGCCCCGTCCTCCCACCCACCCACATCCCAACCTTGGTCCTTGCCGCTTGCGTGTCTGTGTTTTCTTTCAGACGGACAGATACACGACACGGCACGTCACGGGTGGGCTGGGCGGGACATAATACACTGATCTCGGCACGCAAAAAAATAAAAACGGACGAGGCACCGAGATGCCCTCTCCAAAGACTAACGGTGATGTTATTCTCTCAACACTCAAGCGCTGTGTACACAACGAGACAAGTTGTATTGGCCGAGCGAGCAGGACGAGCGAGCTGGCGGGGCCCGCCATGGCGGGGCCCGATAGCAAGCAAGGGACACGTCCGCCTTCGCCGGCTTGCAGCTGCCACCACTGGATCCCACAACCCTCACCACTGGATCCCACCTTCAGGCTTGAAGCGGGTCGTGCACATCGCCGACCAGCCGTTCCGGATGCGGCCTATCCCGCGAGACGGAGTTACAAGACGCAGCTTCTGAGAGTACAACATGCACATGGTACGCCACCGAACGGCCCGCCGCGTGCGCCGTCCTGCACGTGATGCTCGAGGAGCGAGCGGTCGGCAAGGCCAAACAGAGTGAAGGCGTCCGCCCCTAGCATCGGTGTGCCTGTCTGCGCCGGCAGCGCCGCAAGATCCTCGCTCGCCGGGCTGACTCGGTCGCGCTGAGCGGTCGTGGCGCCGAACCGGTCGAACCAGTCGTTCCAGTTGCTCGGGAAGACGGGGTCGATGACGTTCCCCTGCCAGGTCCCCCAGCGGTACTCTGGCCTACTCACAATCATTTCCGTAAAGCGCGATGCCGTTCTCAAGGCCCGCGAAGGAGCAGCCACGTGCCGGTTGGCGGGCAGCGAGCACGAGGCGCCAGGACTCTGGTACACCTGGTCGCCTGCCGCTACCGCCAGCCCCCCCTCCGGCGCTGGCAGGTCGGAGGCGATGCAAAGGGGGACCGGGTGGGGGAGGTTGCAGGTCGCCTTGACGAGGGAGCAACCCTGTTGCGTCGCCCCGTCCCCACGGGTGTGGTTGCAGTCGAGGAGCAGCGCATGCGTCGCCGAGAGCGCGTATTCCGCCGCGGCGCCATTGTACTGCGCCAGGTTCTCGTCCATGATCTGGAAAACGTTGTAGCCCCCCTCAGTGCCGCCAGCGGGGTGTCTCGCGCGAGCATGCGCGCGAGCGACTTCCCAATGGTCCTCTAGAGTTTTGCGCGCCGAGTTGGGTCCGCTCCCGCAGTCCACCTTCCTCCCCCGGTAGCAGTCGACGAGCATCTCGCGCAGGAGCGTGATGTAGAAGCCGATGATGCTCTGCTCGCCCGCCACCATCACTGCATGTGCGTTCATTTTGTACTGAGCGTAGGCCACGTCGTAGAGGGGGACAGGGTAGCCAGCGCTGTCGACGGGCGAGTGGGACATGGCCGGCGCCTCGTTCTTGACAAAGTCGTACCTCTGGTCAACGAAGACCCGCCGCCAATTAGAGGTCGAGGCCGCGCTAGACCGCCCATCGAAGAAAAGCCGAGCACCCTCGGATCTCCCGCTCAGCGGGTTGCACCGCACATCAAGCGCCGTGACGAGCGAGGTTCTCGGGTTGCGCCTCCAATCGTAAGCGAGACTGTCGAGGCAGAGGCGAGCGCGCTCATAGTTCTGCCTCCATGCGTTCTCGTGGATCGCGCGGATCAGGTCGTCGATCCGCTCGTTGGTCGCCTCGTTCATCTCCCGCACGCACTGCGCCAAATTGCGTGTGAGGCGCATGTTCATCGCCGCCGCGCTCGCCCAGTCCTCGTCCACGCCTTCGGGTGGCGAGACGAATCCTGCGATGCCGGTCCCGCCGACGACGGCGGCGGTGCTGACCACGGCGGTAGCCACAGTTGCCGCAGTCGTTGCCGCAGTCGTTGCCCCCACGGCGGCAGCCACAGCGGGGATTGCTCCCCCAGAGGCAGCACCTGCGATGACAGTCCCGCCGATGATCAGCCAGTTGCCCACGGGCCCTGCCCAGAAGTCGTCCGCCACCGCTTCGGCCTCCGCCGCCGCACGCTGCTGCTCGTACCAGAGGCACGCCATTCGGCACATGTCTAGGAAGTCGCACTCAAAGTCGGCCATGCAGCCCAGGTGGGCCTGGCTAGCGCTGCGGCAGTTGAGCTCGTTGCCGCGGTGCTCTGCATTTTGGCATGCTTCCCGCACAGAGGCGGGCATGTCATCGCACATGGCGGCTCCATTCACGTACTCCAGCCGACGAGCTGGCGCGCTCTGCCGCTGCTGGTTCGCTTGCGACTCCTCAGGAGTTGCTTGCGTCTCCTCCTGGAGCAGCCTCCGCGCGGTCGGGGAGGAGCACGTGGCGCAGCATGACTCGGAGACCACCATCAAGTCGCGAAAGAGGAGGCAGTGGCCCTGGGATAGCACGTCGGCGCAGCTGGTGACGTTCTCAACCTGGAGCAGCTGCATCGCCCTCAGCGCGACCACCTCGTTCGGCGGGTCGGTGCACTGGACGTCGTCAGTGGCAGGCCCCTCTCCGACTATCGTCTCGACCAGCAGGCGACACTCTTCCATCACCCTCTCTGGGCACGCGGCCAGCTCGGTCTCGCAGATGTTGGGCGATAGGAAGTTGGTGAGATTGAGAACCACATTTGACTCACACAGATCCGCCTCTGGATAAGTATCATCGCTGCCGGCGCTGCTGCCAAGACCAAGAGCCAGGCCGAGGCTAACGCCGAGAATGGCGAGCGCACCCAAGAGAGCGAGGACAAACCAGTTCTTGCCGATGGAAGAGCGACCTTGGGTGGCATCAGCCACTCCGGCTTGCTTGGCCGAAGGGGTTTCCGGGTCGTTCGCGGCCTGAGAAGTCATATAGCCAGCGCGACGCCGCCACAAGGACTCCTCGGCCTCGGCGGTCGCCTCGAAATCATAGTCAAAGCCAGCGGCCGGAACCCATTATGGCCCTGCGAACGCGCACCCCCACAGGGTCGGGGCTTGATTGCTCGTAGCCGATACCGAGCATCCGGCCCACTGGGTGCGCTTCTTAGCTCCCCCCCGGCACTGGATGTGAGGTTAATGATCGCACTCCAAGTGCTCCAAGTCCGGCCGGCGTGATGCGCTGGTTCATTTATTTATTTCCCGTTTTACCCTCACACACAGCGCCTCAGCGCGCTCCAGATCGCCAGACTCGGTCGCTCGGTGCGTGAATACCAATGCTCTATACACACTGCATGTACCGCAGGCGCAGCGCCCCGGCATGCCGAGTCCAGCAATCCTGTTTGAGGGTATTTGAGCCCTATCTAGATACGGTAGAGAACAGAGAAGCCTAGACTCTCTAGTACGTAGTAATCTGTAAGGAAGCCGCGCGCTGTGTATGCGGCTGCGGCTCTAACGCTGAGGGAGAGGGTGTAGATGATGTAGGTGTAGAGCGCTGTAGAGAGAGCTGTAGAGATGTAGAGCGCTCTCTGGAGCGCTGTAGAGCTGTAGAGCTCTACATCCGGCGCGGGACGATGTGAGTCCGATGTAGAGCGATGTAGAGGCGCTCTACAACGTGAAATCTCTACCACAAACTGGATCTCTCTCTCTCTCTAACTGGCACAGTCGGTCTCCGACGAGAAGGGCGCGTTGCACTTGCCAGTGCTACCCTGGCCTTCTGTCTGCCCGCCCAATGGGTGGCAGGTGCCTCTGCTGCTGTGGCATGCCTCACGGCTGCGACTGGCCGGCGCCTCGGCGCGTCAGCTCGGCCCGGCGTAGCGATTTATAGTGGCCAGCGCAACTCGCCTGGACTCAACGCTCAGCCAGGAGCTCCCGCACGCGCTGGCGCGAGTCTCATGGCGCATGCAACGCGCCTGAATGCTCGCCTCGCCTCGCGCAAATGCGACCGTCCTCGCAGCCGACAGTCCACCGCCTGCTAAAGAAGCACAGCGATGAATGCGGCACCGGCGACGCATGGCAGGCTGGTCATGACGCAGTTAATAGGGTGTTATGTGCCGTCAGAGTGACTCTCTCTGTGTCAGGGATAGTCACAGGGCCGTCCATCAGAGCTCCAGTAAGCTCGGAGACACCCCATTAGCGCGGCTCGACCTCTTTGAGTTCACTGCCTTCCCGGCCGTTAGGCTGTAGAGCCTCTACAACAAACTCTACAACAAAATCGCGCTCTACATCGCTCTACATCGGACTCACATCGCGCCGGATGTAGAGCTCTACAGCTCTACAGCGCTCCAGAGCGCTCTACATCTCTACAGCTCTACAGCGCTCTACACTCTACATCCTCTACACCCGCCCTCAGCATCCTCTACACCCTCCCTCAGCTCTAACGTATGCACACGATGTAGGTGCACTAGGCCCAACACCACGGTGACACACGCACTCCCCCCTGCCCCACTGCCCACTGCCCACTTTCCGTGAGGCGCCGAAAGCGAAACATCGCGCGCACTCCCCGTTCCACCCGCGACCTGGCGCCCTGTGCCCCGCTCTGCCGCTCTGCGCTCTGTCACCTGTGTGGCTCAGTCTGTACATAAATTGACGCAACTTTCGCACGAGGTATCCGAACACCTGGCCATGTTTTTCCCTCTCACACACACACACACACACACACACACACACACACACACACACACACACACACCGCTCACCCACGCGCACCGGGCCTTTTGCACTTTGAATGCCGTGGGGCTCCTGTCGTTAGACGTGGAGACGCGAGGGTTGCCCCCCTTGCCCCACCACCTCGTGTGT